ATGTTGATTTTTCTAATCCAAGAACATGGTATATCTCTCCATCTGTTTGTATCATCTTTAATTTCTTTCATCAGTGTCTTATAGTTTTCTGCATACAGGTCTTTAGCCTCCTTAGCTAGGTCGATTCCTAGGTATTTTATTCTTTTTGTTGCAGTGGTAAATGGGAGTGTTTCCTTAATTTCTCTTTCACATTTTTCATCATTAGTGTATAGGAATGCCAGAGATTTCTTTGCATTAATTTTGTATCCTGCTACTTTACCAAATTCATTGAATAGCTCTAGTAGATTCCGGTGGCATCTTTAGGATTCTCTATGTATAGTATCATGTCATCTGTAAACAGTGACAGTTTTACTTATCTTTTCCGATTTGTATTCCTATTATTTCTTTTTCTTCTCTGATTGCTGTCGCTACAACTTCCAAAACTATGTTGAATAATAGTGGTAAGAGTGGGGAACCTTGTCTTGTTCCTGATCTTAGTGGAAATGGTTTCAGTTTTTCACCATCGAGAACGTTGTTGGCTGTGGGTTTGTCATATGTGGCCTTTATTATGTTGAGGTAAGTTCCCTCTATGCCTACTTTCTGGAGAGTTTTTATCATAAATGGGTGTTGAGTTTTCTCAAAAGCTTTTCCTGCATCTATTGAGATTATCATATGGTTTTTATCCTTCAATTTGTTAATACGGTGTATCACATTGATTAATTTGCATATATTGGAGAATCCTTGCATTCTTGGGATAAACCCCACTTGATCATGGTGTATGATCCTTTTACTGTGCTGTTGGATTCTGTTTGCTAGTATTCTGTTGAGGATTTTTGCGTCTGTGTTCAACAGTGATATTGGTCCGTAGTTTTCTTTCTTTGTGACATCTTTGTCTGGTTTTGGTATCAGGGTGATGGTGGCCTCGTAGAATGAGTTTGGGAGTGTCCCTCCTCTGCTATATTTTGGAAGAGTTTGAGAAGGATAGCTGTTAGCTCTTCTCTAAATCTTTGATAGAATTTGCCTGTGAATCCATCTGGTCCTGGGCTTTTGTTTGTCGGGAGATTTTTAATCACAGTTTCAATTTCAGTGCTTGTGATTGGTCTGTTTGTATTTTCTGTTTCTTCGTGGTCCAGTCCTGGAAGGTTGTGCTTTTCTAAGAATTTGTCCATTTCTTCCAGATTGTCCATTTTATTGGCATAGAGTTGCTTGTAGTAATCTCTCATGATCCTTCGTATTTCTGCAGTGTCAGTTGTTACTTCTCCTTTTTCATTTCTAATTCTGTTGATTTGAGCCTTCTCCCTTTTTTCTTGATGAGTCTGGCTAATGGTTTATCAATTTTGTTTATCTTCTCAAAGAACCAGCTTTTAGTTTTATTGATCTTTACTATTGTTTCCTTCATTTCTTTTTCATTTATTTCTGATCTGATCTTTATGATTTCTTTCCTTCTGCTAACTTTGGGGCTTTTTTGTTCTTCTTTCTCTAATTGCTTTAGGTGTAAGGTTAGGTTGTTTACTTGAGATGTTTCTTGCTTCTTGAGGTAGGTTTGTATTGCCATAAGCTTCCCTCTTGCTTTTGCTGCATCCCATAGGTTTTGGGTCATCGTGTTTTCATTTTCATTTATTTCTAGATATTTTTTGATTTCCTCTTTGATTTCTTCAGTGATCTCTTGGTTATTTAGTAGCGTATTGTTTAGCCTCCATGTGTTTGTATTTTTTACGTTTTTTTTTTTCCTGTAATTGATGTCTAGGCTCATAGCATTGTGGTTGAAAAAGATACTTGATACAATTTAAATTTTCTTAAATTTACCAAGGCTTGATTTGTGACCCAAGATATGATCTATCCTGGAGAATGTTCCATGAGCACTTGAGAAGAAAGTGTATTCTGTTGTTTTTGGATGGAATGTCCTATAAATATCAATTAAGTCCATCTTTTTTTTTTTTTGTTTGTTTGTTTGTTTTGCGGTACACAGGCCTCTCACTGTTGTGGCCTCTCCCCTTGCGGAGCACAGGCTCCAGACGCGCAGGCTCAGCGGCCATGGCTCACGGGCCCAGCCGCTCCGTGGCATGTGGGATCTTCCCGGACAAGGGCATGAACTCGTGTCCCCTGCATCGGCAGGTGGACTCTCAACCACCGCGCCACCAGGGAAGCCCAAGTCCATCTTGTTTAATGTGTCATTTAAAGCTTGTGTTTTCTTATTTATTTTCATTTTGGATGATCTGTCCATTGGTGAAAGTGAGGTGTTAAAGTCCCCTACTATTATTGTGTTACTGTTGATTTCCCCTTTTATGGCTGTTAGCATTTGCCTTATGTATTGAAGTGCTCCTTTGCTGGGTGCATAAATATTTACAATTGTTACATCTTCTTCTTGGATTGGTCCCTTGATCATTATGTAGTGTCCTTCTTTTTCTCTTGTAATCATCTTTATTTTAAAGCCTATTTTGTCTGATATGAGAATTGGTACTCCAGCTTTCTTTTGATTTCCCTTTGCTTGGAATATCTTTTGCCATCCCCTCACTTTCAGTCTGTATGTGTCCCTAGGTCTGAAGTGGGTCTCTTGTAGACAGCATATATACAGGTCTTGTTTTTGTATGCGTTCAGCCAGTCTATGTCTTTTGCTCAGAGCATTTAATCTATTTACATTTAAGGTAATTATCAATGTGTATGTTCCTATTACCATTTTCTTAATTGTTTTGGGTTTGTTATTGTAGGTCTTTTCCTTCTCTTGTGTTTCCTGCCTCGAGAAGTTCCTTTAGCATTTGTTGTAAAGCTGGTTTGGTGGTGCTGAATGCTCTTAGCTTTTGCTTGTTTGTAAAGGTTTTAATTTCTGCGTCGAATCTGAATGAGATCCTTGCTGGGTAGAGTAATCTTGGCTGTAGGTTTTTCCCTTTCATCACTTTAAATATGTCCTGCCACTCCCTCTGGCTTGCAGAGTTTCTGCTGAAAGATCAGCTGTTAACCTTATGGGGATTCCCTTTTACGTTATTTGTTGCTTTTCCCTTGCTGCTTTTAATATGTTTTCTTTGTATTTAATTTTTGATAGTTTGATTATATGCGTTTTGGCATGTTTCTCCTTGGATTTATCCTGTATGGGACTCTCTGTGCTTCCTGGACTTGATTGACTACTTCCTTTCCCATATTAGGGAAGTTTTCAACTATAATCTCTTCAAATATTTTCTCAATCCCTTTCTTTTTCTCTTCTTCTTCTGGGACCCCTATAATTCGAATGTTGGTGCGTTTAATATTGTCCCAGAGGTCTCTGAGACTGTCCTCAATTCTTTAAATTCTTTTCTCTTTACTCTGCTCTGTGGTAGTTATTTCCACTATTTTGTCTTCCAGGTTAGTTATCCGTTCTTCTGCCTCAGTTATTCTGCTATTGATCCCTTCTAGAGAATTTTAAATTTCATTTATTGTGTTTTTCATCATTGTTTGTTTGCTCTTTAGTTCTTCTAGGTCCTTGTTAAACCCTTCTTGTACTTGTCCATTCTATTTCCAAGATTTTGGGTCACCTTTACTATCATTACTCTGTATTCTTTTTCAGGTAGACTGCCTATTTCCTCTTCATTTGTTTGGTCTGGTGGGTTTTTACTTCGCTCCTTCATCTGCTGTGTGTTTCTCTCTCTTCTCATTTTGCTTAGCTTACTGTGTTTGGGGTCTTCTTTTCACAGGCTGCAGGTTCATAGTTCCTGTTGTTTTTGGTGTCTGCCCTCAGTGGATAAGGTTGGTTCAGTGGCTTGTGTAGGCCTCCTTGTGGAGGGGACTGGTGCCTGTGTTCTGGTGGATGAGGCTGGATCTTGTCTTTCTGGTGGGCAGGACCACGTTTGGTGGTGTGTTTTGGGGTGTCTGTGAACTTACTGTGATTTTAGGCAGCCTGTCTGCTAATGGTGGGGTGTGTTCCTGTCTTGCTAGTTGTTTGGCGCAGGGTATCCAGCACTGTAGCTTGCTGGTTGTTGAGTGGAGCTGGGTCTTAGCGTTGAGATGGAGATCTCTGGGAGAGCTTTCGCCTTTTGATATTACGTGGAGCCGGGAGGTCTCTGGTCGTCTAATGTCCCGAACTCGGCTCTCCCACCTCAGAGGCTCAGGCCGGACACCCAGCCAGAACACCAAGACCCTGTCAGACACACGGCTTCAGTCCTGGGTAGCTTCTCAATGGCAGTAGTTTTGCTGGTGATCCAAATAGGGCTGGTTTTCTTGCAATGTCTGAAGCAAGGCCTAGAGTGACACCCCATTGTGTGTGGCTGTCGCAGGCAGGACGTGGGGGTAGGCATCGCTCCTGGCCACGGTTTATATTTTATGTAGAGAAAGTGCCTCCTTGGTTCTCCCGTGCCAGGGCACTGTGAACAGGACTCTGTGCATGTCAGGGTGAGGGGTGGTGGACATCAGTACATGGCCATCTAGGACCGACCTCACAGACTGTGCCACCATCCTCGGGTAATGCCATGGCCTTTGACCCCACAGTGCCTCTCCACTGAAGTAGTCAAAAAACACAGGACCACCATGGGGTAGAATAGGGATCTGTAAACCACGGCCCATGTAGCCCACAACCTGTTGTGAAGAAAGTTTTATCGGAACCCAGCTACACCCCTCTGTTTACACATTGTCAATGACTGCTTTCCAGCTACAGCAGCAGAGTTGAGTAGTTGTGGTGACTGTATGGCCCTGTATGGAAAACGTTTGCCCACCTCTTGAATATTCATACCTGATTTGAATGGAGAGCTTTGAAGGGCAGGCATTACTCTAAACACTGTAAGCAAACCATCCCATTTAGTCCTCACAGTGAGTGAGATACTGTTTTGCTCTCCAATTTTACAGAAGAGAAGACTGAGGCCAAGGTGTTTCTCCAAGACTAGAGTAAGATGGGCAAGCTCAGGTTGAGACTAGGTTTAACGTAACCCAGTAATTCCCTGTTCCTTGTGTAATCTAGGTTTCCCTTATTGTAACTGTGATTGCAAACTATGGGTAGGGTTGCCTTTTTAAAAATATCGAAGTTTTATTAAAGATGTGTTTTTCATTTTGCTTTACAGCTTCAGTCAATAATTAAGAAAGTAATTGCACACTTCCATGATTTCTCAGTTCTTTTTTCAGTGGTAAGTAACCTTCCTTAACTATCTTTGGAAATTTGTATCTGACTCAGAGGTTCCTTTAGTGTCTCAATAATTTTTTCATGGTGTCCTAGGCCAAGAGAAATACTTAACAGTTCCGTTTTTTATTAAAAAACACTAGTAAGGTTTAAACAATTTAAATATTTATGTCATGACAACTTAAGCAGCACTTGAGAAAATAATACACATAAACTGATAGAAAAATATTGTCTTTATTTCATTCATTACTTACTATGGGGTATGTGCACCTACTGGGTATCACACAACTTCTCAAACCTTGGAATCAAATTGGACATCCTTTTCCTCATTGATTTTTGCATGGTATGTGCTTTTTATCACACAATAATCTAATGTTGAAACTGTGATACACATCAAGCTAATAGTTGTCTCAGTGTCTGACAGAGTTGAGATTTATTATATTTCCCTCAAAAATTTAAAATAGCCCGTGACACCCTTCTCATTTGCTGCAGTGCCCTGGTCACATACCAATCTAGGTGACTCTCTGTGTAGTAACACTCTCTGCCCTGCCCTCAACTTTCCTTTTCCCTCTTCCTGCTTCCATTTCCAGTACTCTCACAGACTGTAAGCTTTTGTTTATTTAATAATAAAGGCTGTTATTTATTGGACTTTTGCCACGCCCCAAGCACTGTGCTAGAACTTTTTTTTTTCTTTAATTTTTATTGAAATATAGTTGATTTACAATGTTGTGTTAGTTTCAGGTATACAGTAAGGTGATTCAGTTATACGTATATATAAATATATATCCTTTTTTTACATTCTCTTCCATTATAGGTTATTACAAGATACTGAGTATAGTTCCCTGTGCTATACAGTAGGTCCTTGTTGGTTATGTATTTTATATATAGTAGTGTGTATATTTTAATCCCAAACTCCTAATTTATCCCTCTCACCTACTCTTCTTTGGTAACCATAAGTTTCTATGTCTGTGAGTCTATTTCTGTTTCGTAAATAAGTTCATTTGTATCCTTTTTTTAGATTTTACATACAAGCAATATCATATGGTATTTGTCTTTGTCTGGCTTACTTCACTTAGTATGATAATCTCTAGGTCCATCCACGTTGTTGCAGATGGCATTATTTCATTCTTTTTTATGGCTGAGTAATATTCCAGTGTGTGTGTGTGTGTGTGTGTGTGTGTACATATATACATACGCACCGTATCTTATTTATCCATTCATCTGTCAGTGGACACTTAGGTTGCTTCCACATCTTGGCTGTTGTAGATAGTGCTGCTATTGGGGTGCATGTATCTTTTCGAATTATGTTTTTCTCTGGGTATATGCCCAGGAGTGGAATTGATGGATCATATGGTACTTTGTTTTTAGCTTTTTAAGGAATGCCCATACTCTTCTCCATAGTGTCTGTACCAATTTACATTCCCACCAGCACTGTAGGAGGGTTCCGTTTTCTTCACACCCTCTTCAGCGTTTATTATTTGTAGACTTTTTGATTATGGCCATTCTTTTGGGTGTGAGGTGATACATCATTGTAGTTTTGATTTGCAGTTCTCTAATAATTAACAATGTTGAGCATCTTTTCATGTGCCTTTTGGCCATCTGTACATGTTCTTTGGAGAAATGTCGTTTTAGATCTTCTGCTTATTTTTTGATTGGGTTGATTTTTTGATACTGAGCTGTATGAGCTGTTTTGTATATTTTGAAGATTAATTCCTTGTTAGTCACATCATTTGCAAATATTTTCTCCCATTCTGTAGGTTGTCTTTTTGTTTTGTTTATTGTTTCCTTTGCTATGCAAAAGCTTTTTAAGTTTAATTAGGTTCCATTTGTTTATTTTTATTTCCATTACTCTAGGAGACAGATCCAAAAAGATATTGTTGCAATTTATGTCAAAGAGTGTCTTACCTACGTTTTCCTCTAGAAGTGTTATAGTATCTGGTCTTACATTTAGGTCTTTAATCTGTTTTGAGTTTATTTTTGTGTATGGTGTTAGAGAATGTTCTAATTTCATTCTTTTGCATGTAGCTGTCCAGTTTTCCCAGCACCACTTATTGAAGAGACTGTCTTTTTTCCATTGTATATCCTTGCCTCCTTTTTTGTAGATTAATTGACCATATGTGCGTGGGTTTATCTCTGGGATTTCTATCCTGTTCCATTGATCTGTATTTCGGTTTTTGTGCCAGTACCATACTGACTTGACTACTGTAGCTTTGTAGTGTAGTCTGAAGTCAGGGAGCCTGATTCCTCCAGCTCCGTTTTTCTTTCTCAAGATTGCTTTGGATATTCGGGTCTTTTGTATTTCCATACAAATTAAAAATTTTTTTTCTAGTTCTGTGAAAAATGCAGTTGGTAATTTCATAGGAATTGCATTGAATCTGTAGGTTTCCTTGGGTTATACAGTTGTTTTGACAACATTGATTCTTCCAATCCAAGAACATGGTATATATCTTTCCATTTGTTTGTGCCATTTTTTATTTCTTTCATCAGCATATTAAAGTTTTTGGAGTACAGGTCTTTTGCCTGCTTAGGTAAGTTTATTCCTAGGCATTTTATTCTTTTCGATGCAATGGTAAATGGGATTGTTGCCTTAGTTTCTCTTTCTGACCTTTCATTGTTAGTGTATAGAAATGCAACAGATCCCTATGTATTAATTTTGTATCCTGCAACTTTACCAAATTCATTGATGAGCAATCTCTAGTAGTTTTCCAGTAGTGACTTTGGGGTTTTCTATGTATGGTATCATGTCATCTGCAAACAGTGACAGTTTTACTTCTTCTTTTCCAGTTTGGGTTCCTTTTGTTTCTTTTCCTTCTCTGATTGCTGTGGCTAGGACTTCCAAAACTATGTTGAATAAAAGTGGTGAGAGTGGACATCCTTGTCTTGTTCCTGACCTTAGAGGAAATGCTTTCAGCTTTTCGCCATTGAGTATGATGTGAGCTGTGGGTTTGTCATATATGGCATTTATTAGGTTGAGGTAGATCCCCTCTATACGCACTTTCTGGAGAGTTTTTATCATAAATGGATGTTGAATTTTATCAAAAACTTTTTCTGCATCTATCAAGATGATCATAGTGGTTTTTATTCAATTTATTAATGTGGTGTATCACACTGATTGACTTGTGGATATTGAAAAATCCTTGCATCCTTGGGATAATGACCCCATTTGTTCATGGTGTATGATCTTTTTAATGTATTGTTGGATTCAGTTTGCTAGTATTCAGTATTTTGTTGGATTTTTGCATCTATGTTCATCAGTGATATTGGCCTGTAATTTTCTTTTTGATGGTATCTTTGTCTGATTTTGGTATCAGGGTGATGGTGGCCTCAGAGAATGAGTTAATTTTTTGGAATAGTTTATTAACTCCTCTCTAAACGTTTGATAGAATTTGCCTGTGAAGCCATCTGGTCCTGGACTTTTGTTTGTTGGGAGTTTCTTAATCACAGATCAGTTTTAGTACTTGTGATTGGTCTGTTTTATATTTTCTATTTCTTATTGGTTCACTCTTAGGAGATTGTACCTTTCTAAGAATTTTTCCATTTCTTCTAGATTGTCTGTTTTGTTGGCATATAGTTGCTTGTAGTAGTCTCTTACGGTTCTTTGTATTTCTGTGGTATCAGTTGTAACTTCTTTTTCATGTCTACTTTTACTGATTTGGGCCCTCTCCCATTTTTTCTTGATGAGTCTGGCTAAAGGTTTATCAATTTTGTTTATCTTTTCAGAGAACCAGCTTTTAGTTTTGTTGATCTTTTCTACTGACTTTACATGGGTTGCCTCAGATCATTTTCCGAACACCACTGGGAAGGCACGAGTAGTAATGAGTCCCACTTTACAGATGAGGAAACTGGTGCTGGAAGAGGTGGAGTAACTTGCTTAAGGTCACACAGCCACTGAATGAGGAGTCAGGTTGCAGAAACTGCTCTGAACAACTCTGACTCTTCTTTCTCTGTTCCTCTATACATTCATTAAAAGATTGGAGCCTCCTTTGCCTTCTGCTACCAAGAAGAGCTTATTCTCATCTAAAGGTTGTCCAGATGATTTGCCAAAATGTTAACTGGTCCCAGCCCTGGTCCTTGGGCATGTGCAATTTGTTTTAATAGTAATAGTTTTAAAATCCTCAGAGTTCTGTACTTACTTTCATGTGAGTCCTGATCAGATCTGCCTCAGAAAGATGAACAACTCTTACTCTGTTTTGCCCTTCAAAGAAAAAGTAACCCACAAATTCCTTCCAGTAACTTGTGTAAATTGCAGGTAGAGTGCTTTTATTATTTTTTTTTTAGGAAAAATTTCTGCCATTTCTGGACATGTTCCAAAAAGAGAGTGTGCGGGTGGAGGTTTGCAAATGCATCATGGAAGTTTTTATCAAGTAAGTGTAACATGATGTAATCAGAAACTTCAATTCCAGCTGCCCTTGTGAAGCCTGTTGCTAAGAAATCCATTTATGCATTTTGAGGGCCTGTGCTGTAGTGATATATTTATACCTAAAATAACATTGAGAGAAAAACCACATTAAAAGGAGAAGTCATGATAAAAGTTTATAATTAGCTTAAGAATACAAAGTAATAAATGTTAACAGAGCCTGACCATCACCCATATCTCACTCCTGTGATTTGGGAAGGAGCAATCTATTGATGTACTATTTAGGAAGTGTCATTTTAAAAGATAAAGTCATTCTTCTCAAGATACCAGAGCTAGAAAGGTTTCTGTCGTTAATGTGTAGACTTGTGATCAGTTTTCAACTTAGTTCCTTTCATTTTATTGATTAAGTCTGTTTTCCCAAAACTGCCTACTGCTGATGGTACATGAAATACTTTCAGGTGGTACATGGAAGAGAGATTTTTATTTTTATTTTAAAACGTGTATTTATTTTAAAGTATGTTAGATAATATATAACTAGTTTAATCAGTGACTTCAAATGTATTATTCTTTAGGACAAGGTTAAGTTAAAAGTTCAAGTCCCTTTAAATATTAAGTATGTAGATGTGATTAAAAAAATATCTCAAGATGGAACTCAAGTAACCAGAGTTTGGAAAATTGAGTTAGAAGTTGCTGGAATGTATGTTTTAAGCTTTCCTTGTATTACCTTTCCAGAAGGTTAATTCCATATGCTTGAAACAAGTATACCTACTTTACTTACATAAAGATTTATTGAGACTTCCCTGATGGTCCAGTGGGTAAGATTCCGCACTTCCAATTTAGGGGACCCAGGTTCAATACCTGGTCAGGGAACTAGATCCTGCATGCTGCAACTAAAGATCCCGAATGCCGCAGTGAAGATCCTGCGTGCCACAACTAAGGCCCGATGGAGCCTAATAGATAGATAGATAGATAGATAAATAAATAAATATTAAAAAAAGAGAGAGAGAGACTCCATGCTTCCACTGTAGGGGGTGTAGTTTCCATCCCTGCTTGGGCAACTAAGATCCCATATGGCGCGTGGTGTGGCCAGAAAAAAAAAAGATTTGTTATAAGAGCGTGTCCTTTTATGTTATTTGAGAAACCAAATTAATAATTTTACCTGGCACTTAACACAGTTATGGACAGGTTGTTGGACAGCTTTAGAAGTTCAAGAAACACGGTAAGAAAACAGATTTGCCCTTTGTCTGGCTTAGGAAATGTATCAGTTTTACCATGATTTTGTAGTTAGGAGAAGTTATGATATGTTAGAAGAGCAAACTTGTTATTTAAAGGAGAATTAAGAGAAAACTAGATCATTGCCCATTGCTGGTGATCTGGGCCATGTTAAATGCCAACCAGATAATTTACTGCTTCTCACATATGTATCGTAGATGAGAACTAAATCTGTGCTTTCTGTGGTCTCAGTGGACATGGCTTTTACTGTTATCTCTAAATGTCTTCTAGGCATCAGCAAGAGCCCACTAAGGACCCCGTCATTCTGAACGCCCTTTTGCACATTTGCAAGACCATGCATGACTCTGTGAAGTAAGCCATGTTTAAGGCTGAAACGAGCCTGGATTGGGTCTTAATGCCACATAATAGTACATTAGGGAATTACTGCTTCAAGCTGCCACTGTGAATAATATTATTTTATGGAGCCTATTAAGATACATGTTAACAAGGACATTCCAGTCCAGGGGAGAAGGGAGGCTGAGCTGAGGGTAACCTTCCTGAGAAAATGAGATGGCAGATGTTTTTACAAAGGGATTTCTATTGGGAGGAGAAGGCTGGTTTCATCCAAGTGAACTCATACTCCATGTCTCCTGGAGATTTCTGAGAGCAGCACATAGTATAATAATGAGTTCACTCATCCAGTAACATAGCCTTTAAGTTTTTTCTCAACATTAGCCAATTATTTAAAATTCAAATAAAATTGTGTATATTCCTTACATGAAGGACTTCAGTTTGTTGAGTATACTTGAGGGTCAGACCTCCCCATGGGCCTTACCTTTGGGTCAAAAGCCAAATTATCTCCTTTGCTTTCTAGCTTTATTTGTCTTATCTTTTTTTCTTTTTTATTACATGTTTCCATTCGACTGTGCTTGAGGCAGTTCCTGCTTATTTGTGGCAGAAAGTTTGGTCCCCAAAGAATTTTTAAACATAGCAGCTTGATTCACAGGAAAATGTTACAAGAAATGAGAAAATTGTTTTGGAACTTAACCATCAACAAAGATGAATTGTATTTCTTTTTTTTTTTCCCCCTGAATTTTAGAATCTTTATTTCATGACTTTGTGCTTTCAACTTCACAAATAGTTTTCAAAATCAAAATATCCAGACTTTTTATAATAAATGGAACTGATAGACTTTAGTTGCACAAAAATAGAAATAAAGGCACAAAAAACATTTAGAAAGGTACTTGTATTAGTAGGCCATTGGTTTTTGGCCTAAGCGAAATAGAAGATGTATTTCTCTTATGAGAAGCGTGAAGCCAAAAGGTGGGGGTGGGGTAGCTCTGCTTTAGAACATCATCTAGGAGCCCAGGTTTCTTGTCTTACTGCTCTGCTATCCCTCCGGGGTGTTGTCCTTGCTTCCTGGTGGAGGTGACTTACCTCAACCGTGTCCATGTTGCAGCTGGCAGGCATTGGAGGACAGCACCCTCCTTTTAGGGACACAACTTGGGAGGCTCGTACATCACTTGCATTCACATCCCATTGGCCAGAACTGTCATGTGACTACTCCTAGCTACAAAGGAGTTTGGGAAATGTAGTCTCAAATAATGAAGGGGACACTGCATATTGGAGGACAGTATGCAGTCTTTGCCAATACAGACTTGTTTTCCCTTAGAACAAACCAATAAACAGGAGCCTTGGTCTTTGGCTCTTAAAATTTTTTTAAATAAATTTGGAGAACTATTTATAAACCTTTACATGTATTATCAAAACTATAAGGACTTGACATTTTTTCATTTATATTCATACTAAATTTGCTATTAAACAGAAGCACCTGAGATCTGTGATTTACTTTAAGCTGTATCTCCAAAATAAGGTAGATTGATGGATGGAGAGAGTAATGGAGAGTTATACGATAAAGCAGATATTGTAACATGATAGTAGTAGGGTGTATTGGTGTTCACTGTATAATTTCAACTTTGCTACATGTTTAAACTTTTTATAGTAAAACGTTGAATGAAGTTTCTCTGAAATACAAAATTTGAAGTTGGACCTTGCTATCCAAATTCCAAAGAAGAGAGTTACCTTCTCTTTTGCTGTTAATAAATATATCTTGAGAACAGCATCTTTGAGAGAAATTAGAAACACATTTAAATTATGTTAATTTAGATTACATATTTTCATCAAAAGAAACACATACATGGAAGTTTTTTAAATCTAGAAAATGCAAAATGTTCTTACCTGTTAAGTTGCTTACTTCTAATACTTTTTTTTCCTTTGGAAACTTTAATTTATCACCTCAGTGTTAATTATGTACAATTATTGATTTTAGTGCACTCACTCTTGAGGATGAGAAAAGAATGCTGGCATATTTGATTAATGGATTTATAAAAATGGTAAGTATTGGGGAAGAAGTTTCAGTGCACTTGGAAATGTGATGTAATTGTTTATCCTTCCTCTGGTGAAAGCAGTTAACATTATGTTCCCTGGTGCTTTTCATTTTTATTGAGATAAGATGAAATTAGAAAACAACTTATATTAGCCAGCACTCCCCTGGGGGCAAGGAGAGCCAAGACAAACTGGCTTAAGGAAAAAAATAAAAAGGGGAGGGTGGGCGGGGACTTGCTGGCTGATGTGACATAAAGTCCAGGAAGAGACCTCTCAGAAGGAGCAGCTGGACCTGGGGTCTCTGTGGTGTTGTTAGGACCTGCCATGTGTGTGTCTTTGGCTCGTGGCTCTTCTCTCTTGGCGTCCTTCCCAGGCAGGCTCACTCCCCGTAAGAGCTCCGGGTTTTCATTCCTTCCAGCTCTGCAGCCCAGCCGGAAGGGCTCCAGCAGAAGTCCTGGGGCTGAGTCTCCTTGGATTAATTTGGGTCACCAGCTCATCTCTGAGCAAACTGCTGCTGTGAGAAAGAATGAACACACTGATCGGCCAGGCTAGGGAGACAGGCATACCTGGGCACCCGAATCATGTGGACCAGGAGTGGGAGAAGGGGCTGCCTTTTTTTTTTTCTTTTTAATAAAGCCAGTTTAAATTTTTTCTTTTCTTTTTTTTATTATTTTTTTTGGCCGTGCTGTGCGGCTTGTGGGATCTCAGTTCCCTGACCAGGGATGGAACCTGGGCCACGGCAGTGAAAGCGCAGAATCCTAAGGCCCAGGCAGCCAGGGAACTCCCTGGAGAAGGGGCTTCCTGAAGCACCTGCTGTGCCGCCCATCAGATGCTGGTGAAAACAATTTGGGGGTCAGGTCGGGGGGAGAAATGCCAAGTGCTCACTCCCCATTCGTCCTAGTTAGCCAGTGCTGTATAAGAACTCACCGCAAACTCAGTGGCTTAAAGTAACAGTGTTTTATTAATTCTTACAATTCTGTGGGTTGGCTGGATAACCAGGCCGCTCTGTATGATGTCAGAGGTGTGGCAGAACTGGGGCTGGACGATCCAGGACAGCCTTGAGCACGTGTCTGGGGTCTTGGTGGTGGCTTATTTCTCGGCCATGTGACCTCTTTCTGTCCATCATTCTCTCATCATTCACTCATCTCAGTGAGCTCTTGTGTGGTGAGGGCGAAATCAGAAGCTGCAGGGCCTTTGGAGGTTCAGAAATCACACAGTGATCTGTACTGCTTCCTGCTTCATTCTGTTGGTCAAAGCAAGCCCCAGGGCCAGCCCTCTGCAAGCGGGGGAAAGCAGACTCCACCTTCGGAAGGGAAGAGTCTACAGGGACACTGCGAAGGGACAAGCAGAGCAGGAGGCGTCCTTGCAGGCTTCTTTGGGAATAACCCACCAGTCCATCCCCGCCAGAACAACTTTTGCCTTAATTCTCAGGGCACAAATCTAAAATACCCACTGCTGCCAGTATCTGCTGTTGGAATAGAAAAGTCGAGACAAAAGCTGACTGAGATGAAAGTAACTAGATCACTTTGAAAATCACCTTGAAAAATGTGACTCATTCAACAACAGGGGTCAATTTAACTATGGGTAAAATACCGATTTTGATGAAAATTCAGGATTAGCCTTTTTATGTATTGAATACCTATGACTGTTACCAGGTGCCTCTCTTGTTCCCTTGAGTTATATGCTGATCACGTGGTATTTATCCTTTTATGGGTTTATCTGAAAGCCACCAAGTTATAGTGGAAAAGAATATGAGGAAATAAGATGTGAAACCTGATAGCTATAATGGAAATTGTGACATTAAACCTCCTCCAGACAAAAATGATTGCAGTAGCAGTAAAGTTTGTCCTACCAACCAGCTGTTCATAAATTTGAAGAAATAGGAGTAGAGGGGATTTTTAATGGTGGAAAAACATCCATCTATGGCTCTAGCAGCCACCAGTGAGCTGCCGAGGTTGGAATCCCCTTCAGGAAGCAGAAAGGTTTGGCCCTTATGAGGGAACCCCTCTGACAAATGGCTCCCAATCACCAAATCTGTGTTCTGTGAAAAGGCCACAGCTGACAAACAAAATTCCATCATTTCCTTTCCAGTGGTTTCCTTCTAGCCTGGGAAATCCTCTTTACATTTTGAGATTCTGTTTTATACCCTTTGGTCTTTTTATGTTCTACAACAATGCCAATGTCATGAAGATGAGGTGGTAATAGTAACGTTTCCGCTCTCTGCTGGGTGAAGTAATGTGAAGTCTAGTTAGAGTATATTCCAGTGCACGGATGTGTGTGTTTGCTTACATACGACTGAGATAGCCACCATTTATAGCTGTGGGATTTTTGGTGACTTGTCATCACAGCGCCTCCCCTGCCCCCACAAGCTCAGGCAAAAGCTTTCCAGTTGTGTGCTCACAATGGAGATAACATCGTCGGTGTCTTTCTCCTTGACTCTAGGTGTCCTTTGGCCGTGATTTTGAACAACAGCTGAGTTTTTACGTTGAGGCCAGGTCGATGTTTTGCAATCTGGAACCTGTTCTTGTGCAGTTGATTCATGTAAGGATTTTCATTCATTCATGTGTTCTCTCAATACATATTTGTTGATCATTGAGCCATGCACCAATTTTAATCTGGGATTCTTCTGGCCCCATATTGCTTCTGTTCCCAAGGCATGAAAGGTGTTGTCTCAAAGGTTAATAAAATCTGCAACTTTGCTTAAGCCTTTGAGTGGTTTTATTGGCCTCTTTTTCTCTGAAACTTGCATATTCTCATTCCTGCGTGCCAACAGCAAAGAGTTAAGTGAGTTGCATTGATTATTTAGTTATAGAAATACTAACCTCATTAGAATTCCTTGTTGCCTAGCCAGAGTCCCAGCTTTCTTGGATCATGTGCCTTTCAGTAACTTTTCATGGTGCCCTTAGGCCAAAAGGAAGAAATAACAGTTCTGTTTATTAAGAAAGTAGGTTCAAACAACTTAAGAATTTGTGCCCTAACAACTTGACAGCCCTCTGAACCAACAGTATACATAAATTGAAAGAAAAATAATGTATTTTCATTCCATTCTTAAATCATCATAATTACTTACTAATAAAGTATATGCATCTATTGAACACTGCACAACTTCTTAAACCTTGGAATCAGATGGGACACCACTACTTTAGCTCCCATTCCAGATAGATTTTTTTTCCCCACATTAATTTTTGCACAGTGCTTTTTATCACAGCATCTGCTAACAGCCCAATTTTGCAAAGATATGAAATGATTGCAATGAATGTACCATGGCCTATGAGCTCCCTCACACTAGTGCTTTGCATAGTGTTCAACCATTGAGCCTTGCTGTGGTTGTCCGAAAAATGTGGTGCCCCTGTGATTTTGCTGCAACACCCTGGGGTGTCATTGTACACAGTTTGGGAACCATAGGTCCAAACTTTTTATATTTGTGTAAAGATTCCCTAAGGTCCTTGAATTGCTTCGTGTAAATTCAAGGAAAACAACCTTTTTATGTATTTGTCTGCTGGTTATCAGATTTTGTAGTATTACTAAGCTTCAGACCTAAATATGAGGATTTATAAGGATTAAATATAAGGATTAAATATAAGACTTATGAGGATGAAACGAGCTAGGAATGTGTAGCTCCTAGAACAGCACCTGCTCTTCTGCAAGTGATGATGTGGCTGCGGTTATACTGTTCTTACGGTTATCCTTAGTGTTGCAGAGCTACTTTGTATGGTCTGCGTCCGGTTTTGGAGGTTTCTGTTAAGATCTCTAAGATCTTAAGCTTAGTGTGGGGGATTTCTGGAAACGGAGTAAGCGAACCCTAGCTATTCATTAAGCCAGAAAATGGTCATTTATTACGCCGGTTGATAGGCATGACTTAACTCAGCGAGCGTCCCTTGGAGATGTTTGCTGAAGCCGAGATCGAATCTGGCCTGATGACCCCTTTGCCATTTCGGGGTTTGGTGCTAACTAGTCTTGGTTCTGGTTAGCTTGCTCTCATTGACTTGTATGCAGTTAATGTCCACATCTCTCTGGAAGATGTTAATCTGAATCAGCCATCATTTCATTCCCATTTCTGTTTTACTGATTAATCTAGAGTGTGAACCGGTTGGCAATGGAAACAAGAAAAGTAATGAAAGGAAATCATTCCAGAAAGACGGCTGCATTTGTCCGGGTATGTTCTAAAGATAAGACTCACAGACTTTGAACTCCAGTGGGCTGTTTCTTTTGCAAGTTTCTGAATTGCTGTTCCCAGAAAAAGATTAAGGCTGGTTTAGTATTGATTTTCTGGATTTTTTCCTTGCATATCTCTGACTGACCACTTTTCTTAATGTTTTCAAAAGTAATGATCAAAGGAGCCTGAATTTTGATACATGTTACGGGGAGGGGGTTGAGAAATGGATTTGCAATTTTGTGTGCCAGCTGAGCTATCTCTGGCTTGTGCCTGTAACTGGAAGGCCTAGTACCTTTTTTCCCTCTTGATAAATTCCCAACTTTGAAAGAAATTTGCTCCTTGAGTATGCTGCTCAAAATATTATCAAAGCGATCCATATCCATGCTTTAAAAATAAAATCATACTAAAAAGATTACAGTGAAAAATAAGCACCCCGGCCCTGCCCTTGCTCACCATATACCTCTCTCCTCAGCATCAACCACCTCAAGCTCTTTTTAGCAACTTCTTCTTCAAATTACCTATGTATTTTTTAACTAATTGGTTTTAACAGCCGCTTCTTTAACTTATCAATATTAGGTGTTATCTGTTTACTTCCTGCGACGATGGATGAGGATTTATTTTTCATACACCATTACTTTCCTTGGTTGCCCCTCCCCCTCCTCCCAAAGAAGCAAATACAGCAGAAGCAAGGGGGAGAAATTGGGGTTCCTAATGGGGAGATTAATTATTTTAGTGTTTTTACTTGAAAATATATGGTGGTTGAAAACAAGAGTATTAACCCATTGTGATGGCATTGCCATGTAACCTGCTGTTTCTCCCCTTCCTTCTAGGCCTGCGTTGCCTACTGCTTCATTACCATTCCCTCCCTGGTGGGAATCTTCACCCGCCTCAATCTCTACCTGCATTCTGGTCAGGTGGCCTTGGCCAACCAGTGCCTCTCCCAAGGTGAGCCCATCACTCACTCTCTCCTCTCCTCTGCTCTCAGACAATTCCTGGCTCCTTAGGAAAGCGGACTCAGCGGTGTGTGGATATGTGTGTGTGAGTGTGTAGAGAGAATCCTTTAAGGAGGAAAGAAAGAAGGAAGTGATCAACAAGTGATGAGTTTTAAATCTGTTTCTTTAGTAGGAAGCACCTCGGACACACATTTATAGAGTCAGACAGTTTACAGAGCATGGGTAATTTCCTGTAAGGACCTTCCTAAATCTGTATCAGGCAGGCCAGGTCAGGTGGCTCAGACATCCGTAGAGAGTTTTAGAAGTTAGGACTGCTTATTCACAGCAGATTCAAGTTTATTTGTTGTTTTCAATGTTCATTTGTTTAAAACCCCAGAGATACAGGAGTAGAGTCTAATCAGTAGAGAATGAAGACTCTCTACAGCTTGCTATTAGGTATAAAAATTCTGCCCAAGATCCGTTTCTGTACGAGGTACAGAGCTCTCCTGGAACGAGGATTGTGCGAGTGGTTTATTTAGGAGGCAATCCCAGTGAGTGTCAGTAGGGTGACGGGGAGGGGAGACTGGGAAGGGAAGGACGCCAGCAAAGGGTGCAATGGTGGGTGGGTTAGCGCTGTGGGAAGCTGGGGTCCTTCCCACTGAGGCTTCGGCGTCACCAAAGTCTTCAAACATGATTGCTGTCCAGGAACCTTTTCAAACTCTGCTTGGTTTTGCTATAGACTCCTGGGTGCTCTAGTAGCCTCCCAGTGCATTTGGAATTAAACCAGACGCCTTGGCTGAAGTCCCTACGTGGTCTGGTGCCTTCCGGCCTTCTGTCCTCATCTTACACCACGCTTTAGCCACACCGGTTTTTTACTGTTCTTTGAACATACTAAGCTGTCTTCCAGTTCAGAGCCTTTGCACTTGCTGTTCCCTCCTTCTAGAATGATCTCACCTCCAGATATTTGCATTTTTTTAAATTACTAGGCCAGAGATGAGAATCAAGCCTCACCTCTTGCAGGGTCCTTTCCTGTCCACTCTAGCTAAAGTAGCTGCACCTCCCCAATCATGCTCTGTGCCATCCTCCTCTTGTCCTCACTGCATTTACCTTGTTCTGATGCTTTCTTACTGTGTGTGTTTGTTTACTTATTGTCTGGACACCCTCTTTCCCCACGAGGACTGCAAGTCCCACAAGAGCAGATATGTCCTCATTATTTGTCAGTAAACATGGAACTTTCTCCTAGTGCCTGCTTTGGTAAGGATGATGGGTTTGCAGGAAACAAAACAAAAATTAACAGCCACTGCCAAAACCCCAGTGATGTGCAAAATGAAGATTAGATTAGCTTAATTAATTAGATTAAATTAATGTTAGGAAATTTTAAATCTTATAAACCGGTTCCCTCTTAAAAAGGTCAGGAGTAGTAGACCCACGTGGGGATCCCTGAGTTTGGTGTCACCTGTAACATTAGGAATGGGTTGTGAGCTGCAGATACCAGAGCTGTGAGCTGCACGTGGAGGCCCCGCAAGCCTAGATCTTTCTTCTCCCCACTTGCTTCATGCTATTTTTTGTTTTCAAAAAAGAAAAACAAATTCTTAAGCTAAATAAAGATTTGCTGCTCCCAAGAACTGTTGGAGGAGAGCTGGGAATGACAGTTTCCCTGCTGGGATGCCCTCGGTCCACACCCAGAGATAAGTAGCATCAGAGCAGACTGGTACCCGGGTGTGGGCAGTCAGCGCCCCCTGTGTTAGAGCTCTGGACTCCTCCTCTACCTCCCCTGCACTTCAGGCTGCAGCAGGGCGGGCAGGAGTGTGGAGTCCACTTCGTGCTTAATAATTTTTTTGTTTTTCATGCTTAATAATTTATCTGATGATTTTGCTCAAGTCTCTAAGCGCTGTGGTGCTAAACCGTAAAAGGCTGTTGTTGTTTTTCTGAAAGCCACATGCAGCAATTGCTGGCCAAAATAAATCATACATTCAATTACTGAGAATGGGAAGGCTAAATATAAATTAAATGAAGCTTGTGGAAGTGGGCCACTTTGGTGTGTTTGCCTCCTTAAACACCCCCCCTCTCAGCTGGTTATAAAACATCCCCTCCCCGCTATTCATCTTTTTTTTTTTAGAAGATGTTGGGGGAGGAGTTTATTAATTAATTAATTAATTATTGCTGTGTTGGGTCTTCGTTTCTGTGCGAGGGCTTTCTCTAGTTGTGGCAAGCGGGGGCCACTCTTCATTGCGGTGTGCGGGCCTCTCACTATCGCGGCCTCTCTTGTTGCGGAGCACAGGCTCCAGACGTGCAGGCTCAGTAGTTGTGGCTCACGGGCCCAGTTGCTCCGTGCCATATGGGATCTTCCCAGACCAGGGCTCGAACCCGTGTCCCCTGCACTAGCAGGCAGATTCTCAACCACTGCGCCACCAGGGAAGCCCTCCCGCTATTCATTTTCTAGCCTCCCTTGATCCAGCCTTGGCTGTATCTTCTTTATCAGGCTGTGGCTTTGCCAGGGCTGACTCAGCCCAACAAGTAAACTCCTATTGAACTCTCAGCCAGGCCACCGTGGAATGCTGACGAAGGCTTATTATGGGGAGGCCCAGTTCTGGTCCTTTGGACACACTGGTTCAGCGTGTAGACTGGATCATGTGGGGATTTGGTCTAGGGTCACCCATTGCCCCAGATATTTAGGAGAAATGAAGGACTTGCAAATCAGTTGTTTGATCAAGTGCTTCTGACCTAGATGTGGCCCAGAGATGCCTGTTCACTGTCACTGGATAGCTCCTTGCCCTTGTTTGTCAGTGATTCTTTCTGGAAGGTTACCACCAGGTCACAGCAAGAGCAGATTCTTTCCCCTTTATTTTTATCTTGGTTCCTTTATCTTTACAGTTTCTAACCTCAGAAAGGAGGATGTTTTACAATGGAAGTAATGTTAAAGGTGGGTCTTGAAAGAAGAGCATTTGTTTATCAGGAAAGGGCTATGGGGAAGGGGAGAAGGAATAGTTGGCCTTCCAGGTAGAGGAGATGGCCTGAGCAAAGGCATGGACGTGTGAGATTACATGACGTGTTAGGGATAAGGCCCTAATGAATGGTAAGTTTCAAGTCTTCTGAATGCAGTGGTCCCAATTCTGATTCTGCTACTTGTGAGTTGGCTGCCCTTGGACAAATTGGCCATATGGTGCCTCAGTTTTTCCATCTGTAAAGTGGAGATGATGGCAATGGTTCATATCTGTGGTGGATTAAATGAGATAACATACTTGGAGCACTCGGCCCACTGGCGCACAGTAGCGACTCAGTAAATATTAACTTAGTATAACCGTCTCTCAAAAGGTGAAAGTATGCCTTGGAGTTTAGGAGCTAACTGTAGACAGTGCAGCTCTGCAGTCTCAGAGTTCTGAAAGCCAATTCTCATATGCAGAACCTTGGAAAATCTGCAGGAAAGCTGATCTTCAGTTCAAGATAAACCTGCTGAATTATCCTGAAAATAACAGATCTGCAGTTCCTCCGAAGATGAAACAATAGCGAGAACAATTAAAGCAAAATAGTGGTAAAAAGAACGGTTTTTGTTCTTATCATTAATAATAGTGCTTTTCCCTCCTACAGAATTCTTTCCCCCTCCTTTTATTTGAAAATTTTTTCTTCTTCCAGTTTTATTGAGATATGACATACAGTGCTGTATAAGTTTAAGGTGTACAGCATAATGATTTGACTTACATACAGCATGAACTGATTATCACAATAAGTTTAGTGAACGTCCATCATCTCATATAGGTACAAAGTTAAAGAAATTTTAAGAAGTACCTTTTCCTTGTGATGAGAACTCTTACGATTTACTCTCAACTTTCATATATAACATATAGCAGTGTTCATTTTATTTATCATGTTGTACATTACATCCCTGGTACTTAGTTATAAGTGGAAGTTTACTCCTTTTGACTGCCTTCATCCAATTCCTCCTCCCCCTGTCCCTCACCTCTGGTAACCACAAATCTGACCTATTTTTCTAGGAGTTTGTTTGGTTTTTTTGAAGTATAATTGACCTATAACACAATATAGTGATTTGACATTTCTCTACATTTCAAAATGATCACCATCATAAGTCTAGTTATGATATGGCACCATATAAAGATATTACATCGTTATTGACTGTATTCCCTGCACTGTGTATTTCATACCCGTGACTCATTTACTTTGCATCTGGGAGGTTGTACCTCTTAATCTCCCTCACCTACTTCTCTCCTTCCCCCTCCCTCTTCCTCTCTGGCAACCACCTGTTTCTCTCTTTTTTTTTTGCGGTACGCGGGCCTCTCACTGTTGTGGCCTCTCCCGTTGCGGAGCACAGGCTCCGGACGCGCAGGCTCAGCGGCCGTGGCTCACGGGCCCAGCTGCTCCGCGGCACGTGGGATCTTCCCGGACCGGGGCACGAACCCGTGTCCCCTGCATCGGCAGGCGTACTCTCAACCACTGCGCCACCAGGGGAGCCCACCTGTTTCTCTTTTATGTTTGATTTGAACTGTTTCTCTTTTACGTTTGCTCATTTGTTTTGTTTTTTAGATTCTACCTATTTCCCCCCCTTTTAAAAATTAAATTAAATTAATTTTTTTTATACAGCAGGTTCTTATTAGTCATCCATTTTACACACATCAGTGTATACATGTCAATCCCAGTCTCCCAATTCACCCCACCCCCACCCCCCCACCACTTTCCACCCGTGGTTCCCCCCTTTTAAAAATGTACTTTCTTTTACTTATTTTTTGCATCTTCATCTTGGAGAGCTGTGCTCACAAGCCATGTCTTAAGTAAAAGCCCCAAACAAAAGTTAAGTCAGGTTCTCCTGTAAGACATCTTATCCTCACACTGTGCACTTTTCCTTCATTGTACACATCACCATTGTCGTTTAACAAGTAAATGTGTAAAGAATTGTCTGCTTCTCTCCCCTGAAGAGTGTCAGCTCCATGAGGTCTCGTCTGTCTTAGTCACTGTGCTGTACCTGTCTCCTGGCACATTGCCTGACGCGTGGGTGCTCAG